CATCCGTATTGGGTTATAAGACTTGTCAACAATGAAAGAAGTTCTGTATTGGTTATTTGGTTTTATATTTCACGGAGAAAACATTTTCCAGGAATTCTCTGGCAGAATATAAGGCTTCGCAACTTGCAAGATGAAAACCGTCCATCCATCATGAAATCAATAGAGGAATAAGATCACTTTCCCTGGCTTTAAAAAAAAGGTAAATAAAATGAACTGGAACACGGACTCTGTACCCAGATCCAGATTTTAAAAGTGTCATTGAAACAAATATAAAGCAAATCCGCACAAACTGTAACATAACCCCACAGGCCGTTACCTGGTATTAAAAAGGAAAAGAATACAAAGAAAATGCATTTTGGGGCAAACTGAATAATATTTGTGTTTCCGTATTGGCAGAGTTCGTTTTTGAGTGAATGCGAGTGGCTCTGTTCTGAATTTGCGTAACGAGGAGTAACTGCGGTAAATTTAGGATGTAACTCTAGTCCAACGGGGAGTAATCCGACCCTTCACCCCCCCACCCCCTCCTTCCCCCTCCTTCCCCCTCCTCCCTCTCTTGTGTCTCTCTCTTTCTCTGTTTCTCCCCTCGTTGTGGAATATTTTCGGTTTGTGCACTCATTATCCTTCTGTCTGTCAGCATTCTGGTTTTTCTGTTACCTTGCATTCTTTCCTTATCTTTCTCACTAGTTTTCCTTTCTCATTTTCTTGTTTTCTCTCTCGTCTCGTTTCTCTCTCGTCTCTCTTGTTTCCTCCATTCTTTCCTTGTTTTTGTCTCTGATGCTAGTTTTTCTCTCGTGGTTTTATTTTAGTCTTCTTTTTCCTCCATTATTTCCTTCACTTTCTCTTCCTCTCCCTCCCTTCCTCCCCTATCCCCATCCCCCTCCTCCTCTCTTCCCTATCCCCATCCCCTCCTCCTCTTTTCCCCTATCCCCCATCCCCCTTCCTTCCTTCTCTCCGTCCCTTTCCCCCACCCCTTCCTTCTTTCTCTCCCTCCCCTCCCTACTTCTTTCGTCTCTCTCTCTCTCTCTCTCTCTCTCTCTCTCTCTCTCTCTCTCTCTCTCTCTCTCTCTCTCTCTCTCTCTCTCTCTCTCTCCTTCCCTCTCATTCTCCCTACCTCTTCCTTCCCTTCCCTTTATATCTCCACCCTTCCAATTCCAGCGGAAGGAGGGCGTGCAGGTCAAAGGTCAGCAGCGTGTGAAGGCGGGGACGAGTAGCAGGTCGGCCGCGCATGGGAAAATCGCTTATTTCGGAGATGATCATAGGGTGGGAGGTAGCGTGTGGGGGGAGGGGGGGTGTAGGTCAAGGTTGGTGCTTTGGCCGAAGGGAGGACGATGGTTCAGAGAGAGAGAGAGAGAGAGAGAGAGAGAGAGAGAGAGAGAGAGAGAGAGAGAGAGAGAGAGAGAGAGAGAGAGAGAGAGAGAGAGAGAGAAACGAAAGAAGTAGGGTAGGGAGGGAGAGACAGAAGGAAGGGAGAAGGAAAGGGAGGAGGGGCCGGGAGGTGGAAGAGTGAGAGAGTGAATGTGAGAGGCAGAGAGTGAGTGGGAGAGTGACAGAGTGAGAGAATGAGAGAATGAGAGAGTGACAGAATGAGAGAATGAGAGAGTGACAGAATGAGAGAATGAGAGAGTGAGAGAGTGAATGTGAGAGAGAGAGAGAGACAGAGGAGAGAGGGAGGGAGGGGGAAAGGGAAAGAGATAGGGATAGCCATAAGAAGAAAAGAGAGAATGAAAAGAGAATGTATTATGCTGAATTAACACACGGATAATTGCGAATATCGTGTGCCGCAGTTATACCCCGCCTTTCACTGATACTTGCAGAACATCGACCAATTGTAATGAGGCTAAATTATAACGAATAATGTGGACGGCCGGAAATTACCAACATCGTATTACTAAACGCTTGCTTGTTGCCAATTGTGTTTGTTTGTTTAAGAGTCAGTAAGCGTATTAGTAGTAGCGTACGAAGCATGAAAAGGGAGTAGCGTATAAGGGATAATAAAGAAGATGAGTGCGAAGTGATAGCTTAGCAACACGCTACTGCAGACTCGGGGGACAGGAAGGTCGTTGTTGCACCGTCTGGCGTACGAGGGAGACCGGATGTTGCAAGGCTATGCCACTGGGGTCAACCCGAACGCAAGAGGTTCGCGGTCATTATCTCATTTTTATTAGTATCCTTTTTATCTATTCTTTTTCTCGCGATTATTTCAACGTAATATTAAGCAATGAGCGTCACAGAGGGCAATCAGAGACGGGTATTACCACGGTGATTTTTGTCGTTGTAATGGGAACTATAATTTGCACACCCATGGCGCTAAAGACACGGTTTCTTCTCCTTTTTGTGTCACTGGGAATATAAAAGACAGATTTTAGCACCGGCTTCGACTCTGGCTTCGGGCAAGTGATGGACAAATGAGCCACATCCGGACGAGGCGATTTCTGCAATGCCGTGTTGATAGTTCGAACAACCGGATGCCTTGATACTCTGTAAGTGGAAGCGCGATAGATCGGGCAGCAGAAGGAGCGAAGGAGAAGTGAGGATAAGAGGAGATTGGAGATGGATAAGGGAGTAGAGGTGGAAGAAGGACGAGAAAGAGGTGGAGGTGGAAGAGGGAATGGAGGTGGATGGAAAGCTAGAGGTGGACAGCTTGGAGGGTTAAGCGACAAGGAGACAGGAAGAGATATTCATTTTTCTTTTTTTCTTTCCCTTTTTTGTCCTCTCGCTTACCTGCATCTGTCCCCCCCCCCCCATAACTACTCATTATACCAGCCCAGCGGAGGCATACCCACGCCCATTCACCCGTAGATCCCTTATTACACCTCACTCCACCCATGTCTCGCTACCACTACCCGCATCCGCAAAGCCGTCTGCATATGGTATCCGCACAACGACCCGGTTCAGGACTTCGGATAACAGTGCCACCCTTGGTTGATTAAACTCCTCTCTAACATCAACCGTGGTCTAGTAAGAGGGCTCGAACTGGACCCACGGAACCACGTATCCGCACCATTGCCCGGCTCCCCCATTTGAATGCACGGGGGTGGGTGGGGGGGACTCTGCAGCTGCCATTTTTGTAACTGTTAATTAGATGGGAGCAGATGCGGTCAGAAACTACTCTAATTATAAAAGGGCTGTGCGGTGGGCTTCATGGGTGGTTGCCCGATAGAATGATAAAAATGGATTTGGTGGAAATAAAGCAGCTTATTCTCCTCTCCACCCCACCCCACTCTCTCTCTCGCTCACGTTTTGTGTGTGTGTGTGTGTGTGTGTGTGTGTGTGTGCGTTTGTGTGCGTGCATGCGTGTGTGTGTGTGCATGTATGCACGCACGGGTGTGTTCATATGTGTACATTTCTTACTATTTCATCATCGGCAAACCAAAGGACGGTATTTGAATATTTATGGAACCGTCGACATGGAAATTGGAGAAGAGGCGACAGCATTCGCAATAAATCTCTGCGGTAATGTAACATGATACCTGTGAACGCATCCGCGCGAGAGGAGTGAGTCGCGCCGCCCCACATGGAGCTCTGTTTGTTCATTAGGCAAGCTCATCCGAACGGGAGGGAGGGGAGGGGGGAGGTGGAAAAATAACAACATGGCACCCACTCCCGAAACGGAGGGATGGGGTGGTGGAGGGAGGGGGCTGTGTGTTTTGGTGCGGGGGAGCGGGTGGTCCTGCGTGGTGGAGGGGGTGGAGAGATACGTCTGGTAGGGGGGAGGAGGGGGGGACTGTCCTTCCGTGAGAGGAAGAGTTTCGAAAAGCGATCAGGTGTGTTCAATCAGATATCTGTCCACCTGCGAAAAAATATATGTTTATTTTTGTCGATGTGTACCTTTCTTATTCGAAGAAGGAAAAAATTGTGCATGGCACTATAATACTGTAAGTCGGAAGGCCCGAAGCCATAGACGGTGCAGCAAAGAAAAAAATAGACCAGGCGAGAAAGAAACTTGTTTGGAAGATAAGAAGTATTTGATGATGTTTATGTGAGCGATAAGAAAGTTTCTCTGCGCGATTTTTTTTAGGAGAAAGGAATAACTGGTATATTTTTACGAGTGAGTTTTTTTTCTCTCTCTCCTTTTTGACAGTTCATATCGTTTAAAAAAGGAAAAAAAAGAAAAAAGAAAAAAAGAAAAAGCAAACCTGATAGCAACTTCAAAATGGGGCAAAACACCTGTGGTTAGAATTCGGTCTCACTCGAAGTAGCTTTTATTTGTTATGACAAAAAAACTAACTATTTCCACTTGTAGGCAAAGCTCGCGTGTTCAGTAAAGTCAATTGGAATGATTCGCTGTGTTGTTTTTGTTCGTTCGCAGTGGGACAAATAAGGGGACAAGAAACAAGAACAAGAAACCGCTCTATTTTTACGGTCCTATACTAATGGTTTCTTCCCTAGACAGCGAACGACTTCGTTAGAAATAATCATTTATCGCCCAACTAAAAGCGAGAGACAAACAAAAATGGAAACAACAAGTTCAACGAGGTGATAATCCCTAAGTATTAATAGGAATTACATTGGCCATGAAGGTCGGTTACAATGACAACATAAATAACCATGCCATTAGGTATTTCCCCTTTCGCTGAGCCTCCCTCCCGATAAAGCCATGATCTGCATCGGTAATCCCTTAATCCCTCGCCAACATATTAAGTCCCTCCCTTGCTGGTCGCTCGCCATTGCCACTTCGGAATTTCGCTCTCCTCGGCTCCGCCATTGATGTACTTGTTGGTCATGTCGTCAAATTAGGGAGTTCGCGTCCTTAGAGTTTAACCGGCGGGAGGATGATGAGGTTCTTTTGTTGGGATTATCCTGATTACTGTGTCTTCTCGTGGTTTATTGCTTGTAGTCCTTTTGTCGCTTTTAGCAAGCACGTCATCTAGATGGTAGTACTTCATGGGATTTGGTGCTTATCTTGTTATTAAGGGCTATAAATTGACGTCTTTTACTGTTCACACACATGCCATTGTTATTTCATTATCATCCATTAATAATACATTTTTCTTTTCCAGTCACTAAATATGTCACGATCCACCATGCCGACCACATCGTCCGAACACTCGACCCCGACTTCAGCTAAGGTAAAGCGCAACCCTTCGAGCGTCAGCCGGAAGAGCAACGGCGACAGCTACAACCTCAGCAACGGCAAGACCTCTCCGTTGAAGCCCAAGTCGAAGCCATGCTGTTCCCAGTACCACCTGAACAGCGTGTGGTCCATCTGGTACTGCCTGGTGAGCCTCGGTTTTATGGCCTACCTGGTGTACAACGGCGTAAAGAGGTTCCTGCTGTACGCGTCCTTGCCCTGGCCCCAAGGTGAGTGGCTTTCGCACTAAGGTCGAGGAGGAGAGAAGTAGAGGAGAGATTGATAATGATAGAGGGGATTGGGAGACTGTGTTGAAAGTAGAAGGTAGAGAGAATGTGATAATGACGGACAAAATATATCAATGATAAATTAATGATAGAGGAGAAAGGAAGTGTAACAATACTATCCTCCATATGAGAAGATTCATTAATTAGAACTAAATCTCACTAGGTATTCATACGGTTTAATTGAAATAGAATAGCATTATTGTATTATCAGACTGCCATTCTATATTTTTAATGCTTTCTGAATTTCATATAGATAATGTAAAACCACTACACGAGCCACTACTCAATTCTCAACGAGTTATGTTTAATGAATGAAAATAAAAGGAATAAAACTCCAGGATCAATATGCTGTATATATTTTTTCGTTGAATGAATGAAATAATGTAGGGATTAGTCTGTGGCTTATGCTGTGAGTGCATATGCAAAGCTCTTCTAATTAACCAAAGTGCATTAACATTCTGATTGATGTCCCTGTTAAATGTTGATGACGAAGCAATTTGTTAGAACTTTAATGACTCTTACTGCTAATTGGCACCCGTTCTGGTGGCCTATTGCGTAGGCGTTGTTATTTGATATGGTGTTTAATGTGTCAGTATCTATGGTCTTTTAGTGGTTTATCATCATTTGTGTCATGCATGTTTATTGCCTCTTAAGTACACTCTTTGACAGATAGGTAGATATGTAGGTAGGTAGGTAGGGAAGTAGGTAGATAAACATATTGTGGACAGATGACTAAATTGATTGGTAGATAGGTAGGTAGATAGATAGGTAAATAGATAGTTAGATAATTAGATAGAGTGAGATAGATAGACAGAGAATAAAAGCCATGTACAAGCACCTGAATAACACGACCTTCCAAACGCCTTCCCAGACCCGCCCTTCGTCGAACTCAACGCCTACGTGGGACTCGTGGGCGCGTCTGTGGTGCTGCTGCCCTTCTTCCTCGTGACGTCACTGCTGAAGGTGGGCAACCTGGGCAACGACGGATTCAAGCTAGGGGCATCCCTCTCCACCTGCAGCAGGGATCCTCCGCCGGTACTCGAGGCAGCTAAGGGAGTCGTCAGGTAAGTAAGGTTTGGCGTTAAGTGAGTGAGTGAGGAGAGAGTGAATGAATGAGTACGTGTGTGTGAATGAGTGAGTAAATGAATGGGTGAATGAATGAATAAGTGTCTGGGTGAGTGAGAGTGGGATTGTATGTGCGTATGCATGAGTATGAATATGAGAACGAGTATGAGTGAGTATGAGTATGAGTGAGTGAGTGAGTGAGTGAGTGAGTGAGTGAGTGTGTGTGTGTATGTGTGTGTGTGTGTATGTGTATGTGTATGTGTATGTGTATGTGTATGTGTATGTGTATGTGTGTGTGTGTGTGTGTGTGTGTGTGTGTGTGTGTGTGTGTGTGTGTGTTTATATGTTTACTTCGGTACACTGTTGTTATTTTCCTCTTTGGGTTTAATGAACCAAGCTGAACGAGCGAGCGGTGAATTCAATAGCTTCTCTTCACGTCAAGTTGCGTCTAACTTTCTACCACAAGTTCTAAGAGTTCAGCTTAAGGGAACGCACGGAGTGACGAAAACTTTTTATTATTTAGTTAGAAAGCGTAATTGCTTTGTCAGAGGAACGTTATTTTTTTTCCCAAAGTTTTGTCTCCATTGGACGTAGATTCGAAAACTGGGCGTAAGAAGCCTATTTAAGAGTAGGTGATGAGACAGAAATTAAACACATAATTGGCTTATTAGGTGAACTTTCGATGGGCAGGACGCCAAAGAGGGATGAAAGCTCTATTCCCATTGGTCGCCAAAAGAAGGCAAAGTGATACGAAAGATTCTTTCCGATTAGTCGCCAAACGGCAAAGTGGTTTGTAAGGTTCAATTCGATTGGTCGACGCAGCGCTTTTAGCGACCGAGACTCAGCGGGAAAATTCTAATTCGGTCACGTGATTATCAGTAAAGGGTGTTATTTTACAAATGACGCGGGATATCCCCACGTTCACTCACTAGATTCAAATACTCCCGGACAAAAATAAGAAGAATGTTTGTTGCGATGCCAAGAGGAAATGGTTGACATGGTTGAGGGCGGATTGCGTAGTGTGAAAGAATGAACTTGGGTTAGTTGGGATATTGAATGTCGGACGCTGGTAATCGCGCCGGGGTGAAAGATTTTCCTTTTCGTTAAGCAATTTTACTTTTTTGGTTAAGATGTAGCGTGTTTAATTTCGGGCTATATACTCTCGTCTTTTGTCCTCTTTTATTTGATTTGTTTGCTACGCTTAGGTGTGGAAATAAGTGTTGTTTTTACTCGGTTTAGAATTAGTAACCATTGCATGCGGCAATACTATTTTGGTTCATGACGTACAGCTCGGCATTCGCCTCACGTTTCACTAAAGATAAAGACTAATGCATGCAGATTTTTTTTACTTTATACTTTCGTGCCGCTCACACACACACTGGTTAACCTGATTCAAGTCTATCTGAATTACCAAAATTGATGTTACAATTCTCGTTCTAAAAGACGTTGACTGAAGTTGATAATGCGCAAACTTCCCCGAAATCAGTGATTATAGAATACTCTTGCTATCTCCCCGACAGGAACTTGTGGTTACACGGAGTGCCGACAGCGCCTTTTCTTCACCTGGTGGCCGCCTTCTGCCTTCTCCTTCCCCGGACGCTGATGGACGCTACTCTTATCTCCGCCGGATTCCTCCCCAAGGGTGAGTGTTTCCTGATAGTTGTGGCGATGCGAACCTCGCCAAGATGTTCGTAAGCTGCCAACTTTAGATCTTGCACGTGGGTAGGTTAATGGTACGCAGATGTCTTCAATTCACCTTCCTCTTCCTGGTATTCCCCCATTTAGTTTTGCCATCCATCCTATTGCTCCAGTTTTCCCCTCTGCTCTTCCCTACTACTACCTACCTGCCCCCCCCCTCACTCCACCGCCCCTGCCGAATGCCCCGATACAACCTCCGTCCATCAGCAATGCACTTTGGACTCGAACACATTCAACAGCTCCAAATTACTACTTCCTCTTTGTCGTGGACAGCTCGAGGTCGTCTGGAAGGGGGGGTGGGGGGGTGGGGGTGTTGATGCGGGGTGGGGAGGGGGAGAGGCCACGAAGGGCGCGGGTTCCTTTGAATGGAAAGAAAGGAGGCCGACGTCCTCTCCACCTCTCCACCTCTATCTCCAAATCCACTTTTTACCTTCGCATCCAGCACCTCCGCTTCCACATCCACCTTCAACGCAACTTCCACCCCCCCCCCTAGTTCCACCTTTACCCCAACTTCAAACCACCTTCGCTTCCACCACAACTTCTACTTCTAGTCTCAAACCTCGAAGCTCCACCTTGAGTTCCACCAAACCACCTCCGCGCCCACGTCCACTTCTACCTTCTGCACTTCTCGTACCCAGTGTCGCTGCCTTGAAGAGACCCAGACCTCTCTCCCTCCTCGGTTCCTAACGATGTCCTGACACTCCAGTTATTACACGTAGACAAAAAATGGATGGTCACGCCATTGAATTTAGCAGCTGTGGGGGAACCCTGCTGTGTGAAGAACTCGAAATATGCATGGAATAATTTACGTTATCTGTTCTCGGTCTTCTCTCCTTCCCGTTCCTCAAGGGAGATGCGATAGTACATATAAAAGGCCTACGCAAGCACACACACACACACACACACACACACACACACACACACACACACACACACACACACACACACACACACACACACACACACACACACACACGCACGCACACACGTATATGTGTGTGTGTGTGTATATATATATATATATATATATATATATATATATATATATATATATATATATATATACACACACACACACACACACACACACATATATATATATGTATATATATGTATATATATATATATATATATATATATATATATATATATATATATATATGTGTGTGTGTATATATATATATATATATATATATATATATATATATATATATATATGTATATATATATATATATATATATATATATATATATATATATACACATATACATACACATACATACACATACATACACACACACACACACACACACACACACACACACACACACACACACACACACACACACACACACACACACACACACACACACACACACAGATCTGGAGCGGGGAAGGGAGAGGGAAGAGAGGAGAGAGAGAGGGAAGAAGTAGTTAGAAGAGCGTAAGAAATACAAGAACCCTAAGAAGAGTAATTGGTCCCTTGTGCCTTTTCCATTGGCCTCCCTGATGTATCCTCAAGGGAACGGAGGAGGAGAAGGAAAGGGAAATAAGAAATAACAAATGAAGCAGCAAAATAGGGGGAAAAAAGAGTAAAAGAAAAAATGAAGAAAGATTAGAAATAGGGGGGAAAACAAAGATAGGCCCGAATGTTTCCCTTCGCCACTCCCGTGTCAAGAGGCCTTTTGAGTCGACGACATAACGACTTCTGTGTCTTGATTACGTTGTTAGAGGGGGGAGGGGGAGGGCACCAGAGGGAGGGCGGCTAGGCATGAGGCAAGACATGTTACATATTCATCGAGGGTTGGAGAACGGAGGGGGAGGGGGAGGGGGAGGGGCGGAGAAGGAGAGCATGGTTTAGGGTCTTGTTCTGTTGCTCCGTCCGTGTGGTCGGAAATGGTGAAAGAGAGACTGTGTTGCTGGGTTGGGTGTAGATGATTTGCGGTGGCTTGTGAATTGTTTGGTTTTCATCTCTCTCTCTCTCTCTCTCTCTCTCTCTCTCTCTCTCTCTCTCTCTCTCTCTCTCTCTCTCTCTCTCTCTCTCTCTCTCTCTCTCTCATTCTCTGCTTGTTCTCTGTCTCTGTATATCGGTCTCCCCCCCCCCCTCTCTCTCTCTCTCTCTCTCTCTCTCTCTCTCTCTCTCTCTCTCTCTCTCTCTCTCTCTCTCTCTCTCTCTCTCTCTCTCTCTCTCTCCCCCTCTCTCTCTCTCTCTGCTTGTTCTCTGTCTCTGTTTGTCTCTGTATGTCGGTCTCTCTCTCTCTCTCTCTCTCTCTCTCTCTCTCTCTCTCTCTCTCTCTCTCTCTCTCTCTCTCTCTCTCTCTCTCTCTCTCTCTCTCATTCGCTCTTTCATCATCTCTCTCTCAAGTGGGTTAGCAAAGGATCCCTCAAGTAGGCAAATCCTCAGCCACAATCAGGCTATCAGATTCGCAAACCCTCCTGACCGCTACATGAGAGGGAAGACCGACAGAGAAGAGAGAAAGAGAGAGGAGAGAAGAGAAAGAGATGAGGAGAGATGACACAAGAGAAGGGATAGACGAGGTGTAGAGAAGAAAGAGAGAGGAGAGAAGAGAAAGAGATGAGGAGAGATGACACAAGAGAAGGGATAGACGAGGTGTAGAGAAGAAAGATAAGAGGCAAAGAAAGGAGAGAGGAAAGAAAAGAAAGGAAAGAGAAAAGATGAATGGGAAAGACTAACCGTGAGAGTATAAATAGAATTTTGGGATTAAACCAGGTAGGTTTTAAAGGGTTAGGCCGATGGGGTCGACCTGAGTTAACCCCTTTAGCTAATCCCCGAAGGAATGGTAAGGGGAGGGGGGGGGAGGGCAACAACAATAGCATACAGGGGAGGGAAGAGAGAGAGAGAGAGAGACAGAGAGAAGGAGAGAAAGGAGGGCAGAGAAGAGAAGAATTAGACACTAACTTTAGCCGATTCCCCGCGCGTGTTTGCGGTTTGTCGTCCGTCCGTGGCTTGCGTCTAATGTCTCCCGCTGGCCCTGCATGCGCGCCCCTTCCCCACTTGCCTTTGATCAGGTTCTATTAGCGGAGAAGGAGTCGCTTCTAGCCCGTATTAGGACTCGCGAACGGCTCGAGCGTTTGGGTCCCGAGGGGGGGTGGAGGGGGCGAAGGGGGAGTGAAATGCAATATTGCTAGTATTGCAATATCTTCTGCACAGCTTCTCTCTGCTCCGCTCTCTCTCTTCGCATGTGCACGGTGCTACTCATTCGTCGTTTCTCCCTCTTCCTCCTCCTCCTGGGTGAAATTTAACATTCCTCATGTGATATAGATAGATAGATAGTTAATTAGTTAGTTAGATAGATAGATAGATCGATAGATAGATAGATAGATAGATAGATAGACAGATAGATAGATTTTTCTATATGAATAGATATTCGTATATTCATTCTTCCTCACCTTCTCACCCCCCCCTCTACTTCCAGCCTCTTCCCCTCCGCGTCTCAAGTCCTTTTCAAAAATCGTCTTAAATGACTTCTATTATTACTACCATTCCACCGTAAAGAGCAGTGTATCTCACAGGAGCGGAAATGAAGACAATATCCTCAATTGTCTGTGGAATAATGTTAGCGGAAAGGGAGGCCAAAGAAAATAAATATCAAGAAGGGACTTATAGAACAAGTACCAGTTGTTGCTTTTGTTTGGTTCTTGTGTTCGTTTCGACGCTGAGCTGGTCACGCACTCTCTCCCGCCGGTGCTCCTTGCCCTTGTTTCGGTTGCTTTCTCTCTCTCTCTCTCTCTCTCTCTCTCTCTCTCTCTCTCTCTCTCTCTCTCTCTCTCTCTCTCTCTCTCTCTCTCTCTCTCTCTCTCTCTCTCTCTTTCTCTCTCTCTCTCTCTTTCTATCTATCTGTATATCTATCTATCTATCTATCTATCTATTTCTTTCTATCTATTTGTCTGTCTGCCTCTCTCTCTCTCTCTCTCTCTCTCTCTCTCTCTCTCTCTCTCTCTCTCTCTCTCTCTCTCTCTCTCTCTCTCTCTCTCTCTCTCTTAATCTCTCTCTCTCTCTAACTCTCTCCTCTTTCCACTGTCCTCACTCTCTTCCGTTCCCTTTCCTCTCCCCTCTCCTGAAGCCTCAAGGGAGCCAGTGCCATGACAGGGAGCGGGGCAGCAGTGCCACCGTTCACAGCCGCAGCGCTAGGCTCCCGTGGCAGTGCCAGAGGGAAACCATGTTAAAGCGCCATATAATTCATGTTTTCAAATATTCTTTTTTTTCCCTTCATGGTTTTTGCGTCATGAGTCAGCTGAAATATTATAGATATACTATTCCTGTTTCACCTTTCTCCTCTAGTTCTGCGTTATCAAGTGAAATTTACTTGGCGGGAATCGACAGCCTACCGTATTATGCCTTTAACCTATTTTCTGCCGACTGCACTCTAATTTAGACCCAGAATTTACCACTGCAACCCATCAATATTGCAACGACCATGAAAATATAGAGAGAAATAAATAAATCTTCATTACCTCCTCATTTCCCCTCATTTCGGGCCTCTCTTCCCCTTAGCCCTTCCTCTACCCCTGCCCGGTCCTCAGCATCCCCCTCATAAATCTGCAGAGCGAGAGATAAGCCACAAGGAGGCCCACGGAAGCGACGCCGAGGGAGGGCGGCCCTTAAGCGGCGGTTTAGTGGTCAGGATGACACTCAAGTCGCGCTTGGGAGAGGTTCGAGGTGTTGTAGCCTACTTGAGGGCGCTTCATCTTAAATGTGACGTGTGCAGGGGGGCGGGGTTGCGTGTGCGTGCACGTGCGTGTGTGCAAGCATGCCATTGTGTGACAGTGTTCGCTTGTATGTCTACACCCGGAGAGAAAAATATATATATAGAAAGATACAGATAGACTGATAGAAGGATAGATGGATAGATAGATAGACAGATAGATGGATAGATAGATAGACAGATAAGCAGCAGGCAGGCAGTCGAGAGATAGATCGA